ATGGGTCCGCTATATCTGAGCAATACCGAGGCGGCAGAAAACCGGGATGAAAAATTGCGGTTCGCCCTGACAACGAGGTATCTAACGAAATTATACCCCAATATAATCAAATCTACCAAATCTTCCAATCCTAATTCCTACTAAAATTGGAAACGCCACTGAACCGAACTAATTAATTATAGTTGATTAACTTGAACAGCATAATAGCCTACATTTTACTATGGTTCTGAACGTGGAACCGCCGGCAGAAACTAGTCCATCTTCCAAAATCCATCAAAATCAGTCCTACCGTTTAAAAGTAAAAGCGTGACACACATACTAAAAGATTACAATAAAAAGATATTTTTGCATGAAAAATAAATCCCAAAAATATATCTCGGGAAATAACTTAATAACTTATACTTACTCAGTGAAGTTATTTGAAATCAGAACTCCCTCTGAACGGAAACGGGACCGGAAGTGCTTCCCCCACATCTAAATTGGATGCGCTGTCCAGTTTTATGTTATGGGTGCATGTTTATGGGCCCTTTATGGTCATATCAGACCAAGGGGACTAAAACGATTTAACTTTTAATTGTGAGATTGAGATCTGTGTGGAAAAACCTGGTTCATCTTAATTTTTTAATGTCTTTTTCGTTTTTTTATACCTTTTAAAAATCAAACGATTAGTCGCTTTTATATTCTGCTCCATCAGATATTCGCAGAAATATAATAAGATGAAATGTAATAATTGTCATCGTGGTAGCTCGAAAGTTCTCATCCATGAGGATTTGATTTGCGGGTTCGAAACATGGCAAGTAACAATGTGACTTTTTCCGAGTTATATCTATCCACTTTCTATGATTAATTAGACACTACTGAGATGCGATAAAGCAAAACATCCTGAGGAAACTTGAACATATAATTTTGGATTATAAGTTTGAAATCGTTTTTCCACCTTGAGCAAGGGTAGTGAATAATGTTCAAACTGGTGTGGGCAGCAGTGTGCACTCATAGGCTAACGATAATTTTCATGTTATGATGAAAAACAAAATTTTTCAACACGATCTTCTCGTTAACAGCCTCGCTTTCATAAGACACTCCTGAAAAATAGTAGTTTTTTTCAAGAAAGTTATGACTAACAAATTCTCCATAGTGACCCAGATCCATATTTCATGTACAAACTGTAACATTTCAGTGAGGGAGCTCTGTACACCTGCTGAAAGGAAATGTCCTCCTGTAAGCGACAATTTGGTAGTACTGTAAGCAAAAGTATAGAATAAAAAAATAAATACTTTTTTTAAATAACTTTTTAAGTATTGCAACCGAAAAAAGGAATTATTTTATTGAGGTTTTTAATCATTTTTAATCATAATATGCATAAACCTTCTAAATTTTACGAATATTAAAAAACGAAACTGCTAGCCAAACTGGTTCCGTCGTTTTCAAGTTTTTGCGTGACTAACGAACAACCATTCGTTTTTAATAAAGAATAGAAGAATAAAAAGAGGATTCCTTCTACGTGAAAAAAGATCTTTATAAAGAATTAATATTTACGAGTACTAGAGAGAATTAATATTAACAGTTTAACATTAAATTGTTATTCCGTATTTATTTTTATATAATTTTTCGGCAAACGCGCAGACGTGTTACCTGATGGTAAGCAGTCAGCGCCGCCCATTAGGATTAGGGATTTAGAGATTTAACGATTGGGGGAGGGGAAGGATTGGGCCTTCGGTAACCTCACTCACATGGCGAAATACAACGCTGTGGTTGTTTCACGCCGATTTTCTGTGAGGCCGTGGTATCACTCAGGTCGAGCCAACCCATACGTGCCGCAGCATGGCTCTCCCACACGTAAAGTATAGGAGATTATTATGTTAAAATTAATTATAAGATTTATGTTTTATACAAATTATTTTTGAAAATCAATTTGATACCGATGTTAGTACCTTGGCTTTAAAGAGGCAAAATTTTGTTAACTTTCAGTCTGTCTGTACCAACGGCTCCCCAGCCTCCGGACAGCCATCTTGTTCCCTATTACATTTAATTACTACCTAAACTAGAAACCTTATTTTGCTCAAGCATTTTTGCTTATAAACATAGGGAAAATTCTGTTTTTCATCACAAATGAGATGACCCCTGACAATTGGGCAGTTTCCTAGGTCAAAAATAAATAAATTCGACGTTTTAATACGATAAAATATTGAAAAATAACTATACTTTTTTTCATCGATCGATCGAAACACTAAGTTTTAGATATTTTTTAGCTATTTTTTTAAAAATAAGTAAGCAATTTGACGCAAAAATGCTATGACGTCATAATTCAATGTTTCATACAATTTTCATAGAAAAGTATAGTTTATGACATTTGGATAAAAGTATTGGATTTGACTAGTTGGAAACAACCGTACTAAGTTGTTTCAATTATTATTTTGATGAAAAAAGACGTACGAATAGTGATATTATGATTGTTAATCGTGATTGCGGGGTATACGCAATAAAGTATCGCAGCTTCGACCTGAAACAGGATAAGAAACGGGTTTTTAGTCAGTGAGATTTTGACGGTCCTTCTCGCTATACCATAGGCGGTGAAATTCGCATAATGATTTGCCGTACTTCTTTTTTTTTGATGATTGATCCCTGTGGATACATGGAGGTGGACTTAATACCATAAGAATATATTTAAAAACAAAAAAGACTAACAATACAGTTCTGTTACTCGTTTCACCGAATCTACAATTTGAAATGAGGTACTTGACTGGTTTCAAGCCGCGCTAGAGTTTATATTCATGAGCAACATTTTGGGACACACGACGCAGCTAACGTCGCACGGCCTATTGACAATTTATTAGAATTAAATGATTACTCTCATACAGATCTGTTCAGATTTTCACAGACCAGACTTAATTCCAGAATTTCGAAAAATCTTTACCAAACTCAGATATAGTACCTAAACCCTTACATAAAGTATTTACATTTACCTAAATCTAGACAAACAAAAAGACACAATGTTTGTAATATTAACTGAATTACAGTCGGCTGGGTATAAATAACCGGGTTTTGGCAACGATTCGCGTCTGACGCTTATTTATTGTTTACAAAAACAATTCTGCTAGTATCGTTATCTAGAATGGCGTTATACATATGCTTAGTACAAAAAAGAAATCCACTCAAAGAAGAACACTTCTTTATAAATGGCATAAAAAATTTAAGTGTCATCAGCATCATTATCATCATCATGGAACTAATGAGGCCTTTTCATGTCTATATAAAGGTTTCAGCATTTATAACATAGCACTAGTACAGACCTCTTCTCACACGGAGAAGGTTTGATCATTAACTACAACGCTTACTCAGGGTTCAAAACTATAACAAATCCAGATCAAGATGTTTTCTTTCGCCTAATTTGAACTGAATTTTTGAACTCGGAAAGTTAGTTCATATAACTCGGTGATAGATACATATTGGCACTTCACGTTTTGAATCCGTAATTTTCATCTATGAAAAATTTGAAATTATGATTTAGGTATACTTACAAAAGGTATATATTCTCTGATCTTCTGTTTAAAAAATTAACACCCGGTTTCTGAAAGGCTTGTCAACGGTAAAATTGACTAATCTCCTGTTAAATCTCTTATCAAGTCATCCGATTGGTTGTTGATAATTCAGTCATATCTTAAGATTTCATTTCAGTAACCAAGACAGCTCATTCGTGTCTCTAAGACGCGACGCCCTCAATTCTTTTATTACTAGTAGCCGTTCGTAAAACCGTTACAAAAATAGGAATGATTTTCAAATAAGGCTTTGAAAGCAAAATTGGCTGAAAACCTACCGACCTATCAGTTTAATTGCCATAAAATTAACAAAAACTCACTACTTAAGTTAAAAAGAAAATCTAGGTAAAAAAAACCTCGAGATATCATCAAAATGATCCCTTAAACCTTATCACTATAATCCCGATAACAAACAAACAGCCGGTAATGCCGGTTATACCCGGGTATCGACCGCGGGGCGTGTCGGATCGATCGTCACGCCTCGTGGCCACCCCACCCCGATCCCTGCCGTGAAAGTGTAACGTAAGATGAGAAGGGATGTTAGGATGGCCGTGTTTTGGAAGAAAACTTGCGTGTAGTTCGAAGGAATATTGTTTAACCTTCTAGTTTGGTTTGGTTGTTTTGTTTAGTTGATATCGTTATAAGAAAACAGAAATAGGTAGTATTTTTCTAGACTATAAAGAATCTGACCTCTAAGTTTGTTTCTGCATTTTTTCTCAGAGTAGTCAAGTAAGAAATACCCGGCATCTTGTTTTATACTTATATATCTAATATCTATGGATAATTTTAACGTGCTATTTGTGGCCTATCTGGAAAATAAATTCATTGTTTTTATTGTTTCACACTACACTGAGAACAAAACCAAAGGAAAAACATACATTCAAAAAAGAAATTATTTATTTTTTCCCCGATAAATGCAAACGTCTTCATATGCAAAAAAACATGTATTTCTAAAAATGAAAGGCCTAATAATCAACGTGATTCACACGGAAAATATCCCAGGAGACCTTGTGCTTACAATGACCAAGGAATCTATGGAAGACGAAAGCTTACTTGTTCTGACATACCCTTCGCATTTTAGCACTTGTATAAATCGCTATTGCTTTTTACTACGTGACTTTATAACATACGAAAATAATCAACACAAAGTTCAAATTCAAAAGCCAAGGACTCCGTAGTCATCTTTGCGATTCCAAGTATTACATTTCACTAAACTTGACTAAGCATGAAATGGTAACATTCCATCAGTGAGCCGCGACCATCGATCGGTCCGGTCCACGCCCGGTTACACCCGGGTACGCCCGGCTAGCTAGTCGATACCCGGTTCACGGCCGGGAGAGCTACATCAATAATGTACACCATTGTGTCGGATATTTGACGGTATGAACGTTGTATAAGCCGATATACGGATATTTCATACGATCCGTGTTTGTTGACATGGTTTTGTTCCTTTAAACATTTTCGATGGTGTTTGAATGTCTATCATCATCAGCCTATAAGTGCCCACTGCTGAGCAAAGGCCTCTTCTCATACGGAGAAGGTTAGAGCATTAATCACCACGCTTGCTCAATGCGGGTTGGCGATTTCAAACTTATAATTAGTAATTATAAGTCCAGGTTTCCTCACGATGTTTACCTTCACCGTATGTCAGTGGTGTCTAAATAATCATAGAATGTACATATAACTAGGAGAAAGTCACATTGGTACTTGCCAGGTCTCGAACCCACACCCCCATGCATGAGAAGCGGGCTCCTTAACCTCCTGGCCACCGTGACGTTTGGGTGTCTAAGTGATTTCTAATTACTCCTGTTTGATATACCTATATATCTAATGGGATAGGACAGCAAACGAGGTTACGGATTAGGTACCCGATGGTGAGCAATCAGCTCCGCCCATGAACACCCAAACAACGGAAATATTAAACGTGTGTTACCGATCTTTTGGGGATTAGGGCTTTCGAGATTTAGGGTTTAGGGATCGGGGAAAGATTGGGCCTCCGGTTACCTCATTTACACGGCGAAACACACCGCTGTGTGTTGTTTCTTGCTGGTTTCCTCTGATGCCATGGTATTTCTGAATTTCTTATACATTTCGCTAGCTTCCTGAAAATCATTTGTTATCTTAATGTATCATTATAACCTATAGTAACATTTTATTTCTTTTCTTTACCAGGTCATGGCGGCGTTAATCAACTAGGCGGAGTATTTGTGAACGGACGACCTCTTCCAGACGTGGTGAGGCAAAGAATAGTAGAGCTGGCTCATTCAGGAGTGAGGCCCTGTGACATCAGCCGGCAGCTACGGGTTTCACATGGATGTGTCTCCAAGATATTGTCGAGGTTAGTTGAATAAATAATGTACACAAGAAGAAAGGCAGTTCCTTTTCGGGGTTGTGGAGTTAACGCAACGAGGAGAAGGGTCGAGACGGTTCTTAGTCAGTAAGAGTCTGTCAATCTGGGCGAGAGAAGACGTTTGATGATTTCTCCCTCTAAAAAGAACAAAGAAATTATCGTACTACCTACTTAAAATTGTAAAAAATATGAAACTGTTTCTAAGTAATTTTAAAGTCGTGACTTCGATGGTGTTCGTAATGACTTAAAGTACATATCTATCCATAAAGTTTCATTCGTGAAAATATTTAGATGTTCTAGCTGATTGAAAAAATCAAGAAAACTGACTAACTAGACCCCGGTTTCCGAAAAGCCGATCAATGTTAAAATCAATTTAATCTCTTGTCAAATCATCTGATTGGTTGACTGAATTATCGACAACCAATCAGATGAGTTAATAAGAGATTTAACAGGAGATTAGTTAATTTTAGCGTTGACAAGCCTTTCAGTAACCGGGTGTAAGTACGGGATAATAATTGAAAAAAAAAAACAAAAGTCTGGTAATAGACGTTTTACCTACTATAGTAGTCGTCAATCAGTCTACTCCATATGGAAAAAAGCAGAGTAAAATACAGACAAAACCACGAAAGAAATAATAGTAGGTAACTTTATAATCACCACGCCTTCCATCAAGTTCCATCCTTTAATAGCAGCGAGTATTAACCCCTCCAACACAGATTTACCGGCTCACACGTACGTGTGATGTATGTGTGTGCGTGCCCCCGTTCCGCGCAGTAAGCCGGCGTGTGCGCAGGTCCACCCGCCCGGCTAGACAATACGCTTATGTCATTTTCTTTTGTTTCGTTTTCTTTGTAACTAGTTTTTGGGTTCTGTACGTGTATTTGATTAGACTTTTTGGAATAATGTGTATTTTTTTTTTTTATTTATAGAGAGAAGACAACTTCTGTTTTTAGTTTTTTTTATTGTAATCGTTCTCTGGATTTTTCTACTTACTCTACATACAACTCTCTATCTCTAAGGTAATTACTATCACAACATAGTATAAAATATAGTCCCTATATCTGTATGTACAAAGTTCAAAACTACGCAACGGATTTTGATGCAGTTGTCTTAAAACATACTTAGAGAGTGATTGAAGAGGTTAGTAGGTATATGTATGTATATAAACATCCATTTAACAGGGGAAAAACTAGTATCACCGTTGCACCCGTGCGAAGCCGGGGTGGATCGCTAGTTAATAATTTACTTATTGGGCACGTATACAAAATATCGAATATATTTTCAGGTCTAAACACACAGTGACTAAATATCACTTTATTTCAATGTCTTCAAAAGAGGAATTCAACAAAAAAATACATACGGAACCACGGTCATGCATACAGAATACCTCATTATGTCTTTAATCTAGATCTAATTGGTGTATTTATAAATAAAGTGGGTATCTTGCCATACATCAAAAAAAAAACGAATAATGATTGTGATTCCGTTACAAAAAATAAAATTTAATTAAGATGACGGAACTCGTTTCGTGATTCGTAATGATTTTCTGATTCTGATTTATGATTTATGTTTTATGTATGTATGTATGTATGTGATTATGATTATGATTGTCCGTTGTTTTGTGTCTCCAATTGTCAATGTATAAATGTATGAATGGAGTGGTTCTGTAGTTACAAGTGACTATGTTGACTGTGTGTGTTGTGGGGATCGATTTTCATTTTTAACAACTATCATCATCATCATCATCATGATCCTGTTGTCGTCCACTGCTGGCTATAGGCCTCCCCAATTGCACGCCACTGAGCTCGATGTTCAGCTTTTCTCATCCAACCACTGCCAGTCACCCTGCGGATGTCGTCAGTCCACCTAGCTGGAGGGCGGCCTAACAACTTAACAACTTTTTTTTGCTTTTTAATAAAACGTTGCCCCACATTAGGATTTTCTCCTGTGTCGTGGGTGCCGTTACAAACATTCAATTTCACATACAAATGACACCCAGACCCGGAACAACAATTTGTGGATCACACAAAGAGTTGTTCCGTGCGGGAATCGAACCCGCAAAACGTTGTACGGTAACCAGTTTCCCAGCCACCGCACCAACCGTGCAGTCAACTATAGATAGGTAACACAAACATAAAAAAACATATCGACGGTCAAACTGGGAAATCAGTCAGGTAAAAATTTTATATTTTTTTTTTTGTCTTTTGCACACTCGCGACAGTTTAAAAACACCGTTATAATCTTTTAAAGATGGAAACATTACGGAATCAAGCTTAGGAATTCGAGGATAGAGAAACTAGAAATAATCCTCTAGTAACCTTATACGCGACAAAATACAACACGCTTGTTTCACGCGGATAAGACGCCGTGGTATCACTCCGATTAAGCCAGCTTAATTCATCTTCTCATCTCTTAATCACGCCTCCAAAAATAAGCATAAGTAAAGCAGTAATTATAAATAACAACTTAACACAAATTATTCAACTTAACAACACTAGAGTTCAGTTAACTGCCCATCATTTGTGGTAAACCAATGTTAAACAGCTCCGCCAGTTAACTGTGCTAGTTAATTTGAGTTTAGTTAAATATAATGGCCGAATTATTTAAGTAGTGTTTATGTTTTCATTGTGAATTTAGACCTGTTTATGGTTTACGCTTGTATCTGTTACATTGATATAATGCTTGTGTTGTTTTGTTGTGTGTGAGGTTACCGGAGGCCCAATCCTCTTTCTTCTCTCATCACAAGTCACTTTAGCATCAATTGCCGAGCCTCTAACCCGCAAAAGTTCGGCAAGGCTCTGGTAAAACGTGGGAGAGTCATGCTAAACATGGACAGTCATGCTTCGGAACGAATGGATCGGCTCGACCGGAATGATACCACGGCTTCGCAGAAAAGCAGCCTGAAACAACCACAGCGTTGTTTTGCTGTGTGAATGAGGTTACCGGTGGCTCAATCCCTCCTCAATCTCAAAACCACCAAATCCCTAATCCCCAGATATTGGTATACACTCTTAACTCCACTGGTGTTGCGAGTGTCCATTGATGAGGCCAATTTCAGTTATAAAAAACATTACGAAATTATTAATACACATACCTTTCCTAAAATTGTGTATGAATCATTCTAACTAGTTAGTGCTTTGGTCTATACGCATCATGATTTTATGAATCATCTCCTTAATCCAGTTACAACATGTTTGGAAATCTATTCTGTATATTTCCGCACATCATCATCAGCCTTTTAAATGCCTACGGCTCAGCAAAGGCCTCTTCTCACACGGAGAAGGTTTGAGTATTGATCACCACGCTCACTTAAGGAGCATTGGCGATTTCACACTTATAATAAGAAATTATAAGTTCAGTGTACGTCATGATGTTTTTCTTCGCCATATCTCAGTGATGTGTGAATAATTTTAGAAAGCCCCATTCACACACAACATTTCCTTACATATCTACATACAACCATGGAGTTTCTTGCTCGTTCTTCTCCATCGGAATCTACACTTTGGAACGAGCAAATAGCTTCACTAAGAGGACTGACCGTCAGACTGACACGATATCTTCAAAATTTTGTTTTGACGTTCAAAAGTGCCTGTAAAGGTCTAATTGGAATAAATGATTTTTGACTTTGACTTTGACTTTACTCTTTTTTAATAGCATATTTCGTCTGTGTATCACAGAATCATCCAAAAATATTATTTATTCTCGGTGAAGGAAAACATCGTGAGGAACCCTGGACTTAAAATCTCTCGAGGTATTTATGCTCAAACCTTCTCGTTAAGAGAAGAAGCCTTCGCTCAGCAGTGGGCACTTATAGGCTGATGATGATATCATGTGATTCTTTCTCCAATAAAGCTTAAATGGAATCAATTTTATTTAAATCCAATGATTACAAGTCTTCATTATTCGAGATACGATGCTATGGACAATGACTTGACGATATTATATCGATATAGAGAGGACAATGACGCGAATGGTGCGCCGGGATTTCAGCTGACCATTGTCCAATTTAAATTGAAAATTGCAAGCAGTGTTGGGACATGTCCACGTTTTTCCGGGACTTGCATATTTTTACACGGGATTCGACATATGTTTTTTTTGACGGAATGAATATACATAAGTATCATGAGTTTTACTAAAGTGTAGGCAGGTTCAGTGAATGTGAATTTTGGTAGCGCTTTGCCTGTATGAAAACTAGAAATTATAATTATCTTATTTTCGGTATCCCAAAAACTATGGAGTGAAGTCATTGTAAAATATGCCCATTCTATGGCTGATTTTTGAGGAATAATAAACTGTAATCTTTATAAACATTTGTATTGATGTCTACCTCCATTTTTGTATGCTAAAATGCAGAATGTAAGTACATTTTGTTTCTTAAACTTTTTCTTATATCTCATTGTAAAAACTACATTCTATAAAATTTAAAACATCAAACAAAATTTTTATTCTTAGTGCAAATATAAGAATATCAAAGCCTTGGGTATTGCTTTTCGTATTTTAAAATATCTTTCCGCTTGCTTTTAATAGTTCGCCCAATCGTCACACGTCAAATCGACACAGAACATAATTTTTCCTCGACAAATCAATCGATAGATCCCGGGCTGCCCATCCCTAATCCCGCGGGACACTCAATCGGCTCGATCCGAACACTCGCTTTTCAATTTATATCCCACTCTCACAATTCAACCCTATGTTTTGTTTTCAAACCCCCAGCGGGTTCATTTTTGTCTTAATGACAGAATGTCGTATGCTGAACTGCGTTGTAAAGATTGTTCTGCGGGGATTCAATTCTAGTATAGTTGTTTTTTGCAAGGGATGTAGGTTAGGGTGACTTTAATATAGGTTGTAGTTTCATTTATTCATTGAGAAAGGTCATTTATATAAACGACCTTTCATTTATACATATAAATGAAGATGTCAAACCTTCTTATTGATATTATAACTTTCGTGAGACATTCTAAATTAATTATTATGTTTTCGGCTTACTC